CACGACAGCTCTCAGCACTAGATGAACAATTATGCAGGCAGTCGGACTTTGTGAAAAAAATATTAATCTATTTATTCGAGGCTTGTTGATTCAGCTTTATCTTCTGAGATTAATCCAAGTCAATAATGCTATATTTAATTATAAGGAATAACCTTTTTGCCTACATCAAATAATCACGGCAGTCTGTGACGGTGAAAGGAGCAAAACACATTTCTCTGTTGCATGACCGTTTATTTTCCGGCAATAAATTAGAGGACTTTGATGGCTCTGGCCTTGTTATTTTTGTTTTTGTATGATGAGTGAGAAACGATTTTCTAATAAAATACTATTCAAAATAGAAGCTTTAACACCTTGCTAAAACAGCATTCATCAACCATATAAAATGAACAGTTATTGAAGCAACAATAGGATTATAAAAAAAGTAATCATCCATCCATCCATCCATCCATCCAGCCATCCATCCATCCATCCAGCCATCCATCCATCCATCCATCCATCCATCCATCCATCCATCCATCCANATCCATCCATCCATCCATCCATCCATCCATCCATCCATCCATCCATCCATCCATCCATCCATCCATCCATCCATCCATCCATCCCATATGAGAAAATGAATCGGAAACTCATACATTCCTCTGTATTTTCCAAGTCTGGATAAGCAGAGACAAAAATTATACATAATGATACAAAAAGTATCCCAGTGATAAATAGTTATGTTCTTCCATCTATGCACTTATTTACAGTCCATGTTACCACACAACCTGCTTCATTACTTTCTGTATTTTTTGGTTGATTAAACAAAGCCTTTGCAAAAGCAACTGCTATAAAATAAGCCAACCTTATTTAATTGGAATGAGCAAAACAGATATGAAATCTCCAGATATTTTTATCCTAAAAAGTTATCATTCTGGTGTAGTAAAGTATGGTGAACATATGCAAAAATTATTGTGTTTTAAGAAATTATTTCCAATATCATTTTTATAAAGTCACATACATTCATCCAACCATGTGTGCATATCCATCTGTCCATTCTTCTGCTCATCTGTTCACCTGCTTCATCATTGTCTGCAAAGGTTGCATATTCAAAAGCCTGGCCATGGTACAAACGTCTGCTATAAATAAATCAACAGTGGTTTTTACTTTCAGAAAAGCCTGAAAAGAATTCAGTACTCTAACCACCATAACCCTCTTTCAGGTTGGAGACGTAAAAGAAAATGTCCATTTCCAGACTTTATTCCTTGTTCCATCATTTATCCATAAATGTAGGTTTCTATTCATCAGTCCATCCTTCCCCTCTTATCCATCCTATTCTATGATATTTATAGTTTTACATGTTCCTTATTTAAAGATTGACCTCTAATCGAAGGATAATGATAAGCTAATTGGAAATCAAGGTATAAATCCTTAAGCTGGACTGCAAAACAGTAAGTAAATGTGGAGTTTTGATATTGAATATGTGCAGCAATAAGTTGGACTAAATGACCTAATTTTTTAGGTTGAATGTAACATAAATAGATATATCTAATATATATTTTTTGATAGAGATGCTGGGAGAAACAACAAAACTTGGAATTCAGAGGTAAAAATCAAGATATTTTACATACATGATGTCAGAAAATGGAGAATCTTTATTTTTATCACAAATCTTCCCCATCAGCCACAAATTCACAAAGCCTTTTTTTTTTCTGAAAAAATATCATCTCCATGTATGATCAACCGAACTAAAACACATTACAAGCAACTGATCCAAAAAGAGGATCACATGGGAGCGGCAATAATCACCGATTCTACAAGGCTTGTTTATGTGTTTGTATATGTGATAAATCAGGGCTCACTGGTATTAAACATCCTTGTTCTAAAAGGTGCACAGCTCAGTGCCTCACAGGCAATCACATATTCTTTGAGAAGTTTTGACCACTTCCCATCAGATTTTCTTCCCTTATAAATTATGTCCAAGAAAAGAAATGATGCCTTTTCTTTGATAAAATGAATACAATTAGAACCAAAACAAAATCTGGAAATTACAGATTTTTTTCAGATCATTAAATCAAAGCTCAGAATGAATCCCCTCCTTAATAACATATATCACAAAAATAAGTCCAGTTAAACAACAATGTATAAAACATTGTATTTTTCATATTTAACGTGAAATCATATATAGAAGGAGAATGTTGAGGAAATTGTGTTCAGAATATTATTTTTTAAACTAGGTTATTTCCCGGTTGGTTTCCCATATTCCTGCAACTGGGCAATAACCTGCTTACAAAACTGTACTAATCATGTAAATTAAAATCAAAACAACAGTTTGAACATATTTTCATTGTGGGTAAGTATACACTATAACATCAGCATACAATATAACATCAAAAGTCACCGCAGACTAGGAAGAAAGCTTGGCATTAAGATTTCTCTCAACCTTTTTTGAAGATTTTATGCAACTATTTTAGGAACAATATTGAAAGGAGTTTTTTGCTATACAAAGAAAAAAGATATGATTGCCACTAGATAAAGTACGTCCCACAATAGAACATGGTAGCGGGAGCATCATGCCTTGCATTTTTTCACTTTGTATGAAACTAAAGTTTCAGTCAAGGTGGCTAAAAACATGATCAGCTTTAAATGGCTCAATTTTTGTAGAAAAACTGATAGGTATCTCCTTGAAAGTTGAAGATCAAAGGAGACTTTAGTTTTCAGCCATTCACCACTGATCCATCTTGATAAAAGAATGGCATAAAGAAAGACAGATATGTTTTAAATTCATAACCAAAGCCAGTCAGGTCATCTGAGCAAGCCTGTGTATAAGAGATATATTCCACATATAATAAACACAGAGAACTTTAACAAGGATTGTTAACAGAGTCAAGACATAGTGCATTAACAGAATGGACATGAAATTAAATCACAGAAAACATCCCTGATTTCCCACCCATCCCTAACCTAACCTTTTTTGTTTAAATATGGAACAACTGAGAAACCTAATGCATTGATTGTATCTGTAAATAATTCCCCACTTAGATTTTTTCTTTTTTCTTTTCCAGTTTTTCCAGCTATTTTGGACTGCATAGAGACCATATTGGAGATGAAATAGATTTAAAATGATTGACAATGTTATTTCCTTCACCACCAGAATCTGCTGTTTCTAACAAGGGTATAAACACTTGTGAAATCCAACTAAATTTCCTAAACCTCATACTGATTTTTGATTCATTTATACTTGTATAGGACATGTTGTGTATTGGGTTGTTTAAATAAAACAATGGGAGTTATATTGGAAGCAAAACATTATTCACAGTTTTTTGTTGCAGATTACTAATCAGACCGATGTAATCATAGAGTATCCATTTCCGGTCTCTGGCTGATTAATTGGTTCATTTCTTTTGCTTTTTAAAAAAAATATATTTAGAGCATTCAATCACAAACAGCAGCAGCGGTCCAACATATGTGTGTTGTAGTGGGTTCGTTCAGACACTTTCTTTTCTTTTTATAATGTGTTGCTCTCAGGCGTGGTCCCAGAGATCCCAGTGTTTCCACAAGTTGTGTTTCCCCACCAGGATGCAGGCTGAGGGAGCTGTGAAGTTGTCTGAAAAAGATCTAACTGCCAGCGGCAGGGAAATGCAGATCACACAGCTGACAGGAGACAAAACAGCGCCTTGGGGCAAACTTTCAACAGGATCTTAATCTGCGATGAAGTCCGAAGGAGGCCGATATAGGATGGATGATTCCTGGACTTCTTTCATGTCTGCTTAAAAGCGTTCAGGAGGAGTGGGGAAGCATGGGTCAGAGAGTTGCAGGATATCAACAAAGAAATGGTCGTCTTTTACTTTAGACACAATTTTATCAAAGTTTCCAGCTCCCCCAAGGAGCTTGACATTTCCTTTCGCCTGATTGAGCAATTGTGAAAATTTCTTCAAGGGGCATCCATTTTAATGTCACAGGTAATTTTGCATCTTAGCATGAAAGGCTGCTTTAAAAAAATGAAAACAAATATCCCAAATGTGGTCAGAACAGAAAAGAAATAGGGACTTTTCTTTTTGTTTTACCTACAGTTGCACATTATTGTGCATCATCTGAGGGATAAAACACAATCTTTGCAACGGCGTCAATGCTCAACATACCCTATTAAGCCTTGACACCTGCAGTTTATCATCACTAAATCAATTGAATATTCCAGCAGGGAAAATGGGGGGAAATCCATCTCCTGTAAGGACAATGCCTTAAATAAACAGACAACAGGCACAATCTGCCCTTCTTTCACCTGATCCCCTCTCTTCCTTTCCTCTCTTTCACACCAACACTCACACATAAACACACTTTCCCTCTCATATAAATTGTTTCATTCCTTTTAGTCAATCTAGCTAATGCAAAAATCATGTATGTCAGTCTTTCAATATTTAATCCTAACAGCAGCAGGATTGAAATACAACATTGAAGAAGCATTACTCCTTCTCCTCCTGAAAGGTACAAGAGCTCTGAGAGCTGGATAGAGAGGCAGAGGCTCCTGATCTACAATGTCAGACTAGGGGAGAGAGAGAGAGAGAGAAAGCAGGAGAGAGAGAGAAAGAGATGGAAGGAAGAGAAAATGCTCGGCTATTTTTGATAAGACTTTGGTTGCCATGCGCTCCCAGCTACCTCGTGTAGAGGTGGCGTTAAAGTGCAGTTTGCTTAGGAGAAACACAGGAAAGTACATAAACGCATGTGACAGCTTTGTGTTTTCCATCTGTTAGAGGCAGACTTTGTTCATTAACATAAAATAATTTAGTCTGAAGAGAAGCACTGTTGCTGCTCGGAACTTAACGAGACATTCAGCCCTATGATCCAGCAAAGCAAAAAACATTTTTCTTGCAGATCTGCATATCCTTGAAATGTAGGTATAGAAGTAAAGAGATTCACTTTTCTTTCTCCTGTTCATTTTCACTTTTTGCTTGAGAAAGCTGAAAAATAATAGATGTAATTTATACAGCAAAAGTTAAACTTTCTGAAAGTTTTAAACTCACCACAGAGAAGTCCTCAACTGAGCAGTTCTGCCCACTGAAATTACAGCTCATCAGCATCTCCTCCAACTGATGTCCTGTCCTGTTGAAGATGTCCTGCATATCGGGTGCAGGATACATCAAATCAGTTGGTTTGTGTCCATCCCGGTTCTTGGGAGGCAGACCCGTCAAGTTTGCCAGGTGATAGATGTCTGCATCTGTGAGAGCCGAGAAGCGGAATCGGTTGATGTTGCAGATGGTCACAGCAGGGAAGACCATCTCAGGTGTTGCCTCCTCATTCAGAGCCGTCACATGAGGATGCTCCAGGTAAGAGATGGCACACTTGGCTGCTTGGTACAGGAAGAGTGCCAAAGAAGTCAAGAAAGCAAGAGCCCAGAGAGTCTGCCGGATGCCCAGGCGGCCAGAGACGAAGATGTGGTTGATCCCATGGAGGGAGCAAGAGTTAGCAAACCCTGCCAAGTCTTTGGCCGCCGGCGTGCAGCTCTCCTCGATCAGGCTCTCCTTATCCCCATCTTGCTTGCTTTTCTGCTTCTCATCCTCTTCTGCAAATTTGATTTTGCAAACAAATTCGATAGGCATGTGGGCAGCCAGGTCTGCGTTTTTTTTTCTTTTTTTGTTTTGTTTGTTTCTTCTTGATGGCAGCTTTAAGCCCTGGATCACTTCCCTCCTACTTCCCCAGCTTTTGTCCTCGAAGCGGGATACAACTCCAGAAAGAAGGGGGGGGAAGACGGGAGAGAGTTTGTTGCTGCTGCTGTCTCTGCTGCTGCCTGCGCTGTGACTGATAGTGCTGCTGCTGCTTCTCTGCCACGGCTCCTTGTGACTACAGCGCTGCTGCTGTGCTGCTGCCGCTGCTCTGAATGCTTGTCTCACTACTTGATCAGCTCGCACAGACCCACTTATCAGCAATAATGTAGCTGTAAAAAACCTAGAGAAATAAAAAATAAACAACAACCCCTATTTCTTGCTGTTTTAAGCATAAAGATGAAATGCAGATTTCTTTAAAACCAAGCTAAAATAGTAAGAGGAAGATTAATATTTGATGAGAAGATAAGATTTTGAGTATTTCCTCCTGACTGGCGCTAGTCACAACTTCTCCCGGTCATCCTCCTGACTCAACCCCCTCTTCCTACGTAATCCACTTGTTTCGCTGCTGCTTTCACATTTTGACCTGAATACAACCAGTGTCAGAGGTTTTTCCCACACAGCTTCACTACAGGAGGTCTAATGTCAATTCAGATAACATCTCAAGGGAAAGTCTAATTAAAACCTATAAACAGAAATGAAACCAAGCAAGAAACCTGGCAATCAAGCTGTTTTTTTTTTAAAGAGCAATAAAAATAATTAATCAGGGAAATGTGAATTTCTGAGATTAAGAAAGGTGGAGTGATGTTGTTGCTTATAACAAAAAAAAAAAAAACATTCTACTGTATGTAGATTTAAATCAAGGAATGCATTCCTAATCTGGAGCTTGATGCAGCTGAAGATGTTGAAATAAAAGTATCGATCTACCTCCCATCCCTAACCTTTACAGTGCAAGTCTCTGTGCCGTTAATGGCCTCTTTCCAAGTTGCCAAACAAAATTATGCAAATAGAAGGAAGAAAAGTGAGAGCCCTAATGCATGTTATTCCCCTTTAAAAGGAATTAGTCATGCGGGTCACATCACAAGGGGCTGGGACCTCCAGAGGAAAGGCATATTTAAAAGTGAATTCAACCGCTCTGAAAACACGAGCCAGTTCAAGTCACACAGAGCTTCTGAAATGTAACTTTACTTAAAACAAGAATACAAATTAGTAGACAGTAATTAAAATATATATATATATATATAAAGGTGTCACTCCGAAAAATAGAATTAAACATTAGATTTTGTGAAAGGAACACATTTCTTGTGCATTTTGTAAAAAGCAAAAAATGGAAATTTGATCAAATTAATGACTGATTTAGGAGGAGATTAATAATTTGTATTTACCTATTTCAAATTGAAATCACTTAAATTTTTATTTAAAATTTTCTAAAAATTGAACCATCCATCCATCTTGCATCTGTATATCTATGAAAATGAAAAATGAGAGCCATGCTTTTTCTACAATGCTTCCACAGGATCATAAAAAAAACATAACTAATGAAACAGGTCTGGACAAAACAATTTGGTACCCTTTGCTTGATGTTTTGTTGCCAACCTTTTCAGGCAATGACTAGAATCAAACAATTCTTGTAACTGTCAATAAGACGTCTGCTCCTCTTAGCAGGTATTTTGGCCACCTCCTCATCCACACACTGTTCCATTTGTCTCAGGTCTGACAGGTATATTTTTCAGACAGCATGTTTCAGCTCCTTCCAAAGACACTTAAAAGAATTTAGGTCAGGGCTCATAGAAGGCATCCTCCGAATACTGTAGTTAAATGTTTTGCTCTCTAAGCTATTCTGGGGTGTTAGCTGTGTGTTTTGGACCATCATTCTGCTGCAAGTCATGACCTGCAACTGTGACCAGGCTTTTTCACACTGGGCAGCCCATTTTTCTCTAGAATCCCTTCCTGGAGAGACTGAGGTATTTTGGAGTGCAGGGGGCGCTCTTAAATAGACCTTCTATGACTCTGTTGTGGCATCAGCCATCTTCTATGGAGCTGTCTGTTGAAGCAGTGGCTCATCTGAAGCTGAGAGAAACCTGATCAGGAAGGCCAGCTCTGTGTTTGGATGACCCCTGGACTCAGTGCAGGAGATGGGAAACAAAAGGATCCTAACTAAATTAACATCTCAGTTGGATAATGTCTCCCACCCCATGCATGAAGCTGTTGCTGAACTGGAGAGCTCCTTCAGTGACAGACTGCTGCACCCTAAATGCACCAGGGAGCGTTATCACAGTCCCTTCCTCTCAGCAGCTGTAAGACTTTATAACCATCACTGTTCCCAACAACGTCAATAAGTTGTTACATTCATGTTGATTTGTGTAAGCACTTTTGCTATAATCTTTTTGCTGCCGTAACGCCATAATTTTCTATTCTATAGTAGTGAGATTTCATTGCATTCTGCACCGATTTAAGGCACCCTGTTCCAGATGAAGCAACACAACCCCAAAACATAACAGAGACATCTCCATGCTTCCCAGTAGGGACAGTGTTCTTTTCATATGCTTCATTTTTCCATCCATGAACATAGAGCTGATGTGGCAAGGTAAGAAGTTAAATATTTCTGTCTCATCTGTCCATAGGACGTTCTCCCAGAAGTTTTATGGCTTGTCAACATTTAGCCTGGTGAATTCTAGAAATGCTTTTTTATACTAAATTTTTTATCAATGGTGTCTTCTTTCCTCCCTGTACACCAACAGCTGCACCTCCAGTCATCAGTCTGTCAAGCTCCTGAAGTTCGCAGACGACACCACTCTCATCGGACTGATCTCCGATGGTGACGAGTCCGCCTACAGGTGGGAGGCTGACCATCTGGTGACCTGGTGCAGGGAGAACAACCTGGAGCTCAACGCTCTAAAAACAGTGGAATTGGTTGTTTACTTCAGAAAGAGGACAGCCCCAGCTACCCCCATCACCCTCTGTGACTCCACCATTGACATTGTGGAGTCT